GTATTTTTAAAATTATTTTTATTCTTTTTTTTTTTTTGACAGGCAGAGTGGACACTGAGAGAGAGAGACAGAGAGAAAGGTCTTCCTTTTTCCGTTGGTTCACCCCCCCAGTTGCTGCTGTGGCCGGCGCACCGCGCTGATCCGAAGCCAGAAGCCAGGTGCTTCTCCTGGTCTCCCATGCAGGTGCAGGACCCAAGCACTTGGGTCATCCTCCACTGCCTTCCTGGGCCACAGCAGGAGCTGGACTGGAAGAGGGGCAACCGGGACAGAATCCGGCACCCTGACCAGGACTAGAACCTGGGGTGCCGGCGCCGCAAGCGGAGGATTAGCCTATTGAGCCGCAGCACCGGCCATTTTTATTCTTTTGACTGACATATAGTAATTGTACATTGTGGTGGAATGAGAAGGCCATGTCAAGATGGCCGCTGGCAAGCAAGCCTCAGTTACTCAGGAATGGCTTTGAAACCCACCTGGCAATGGAGCCTGCCTGGCAACAGGCTGTGATTGGATGGTTTTGGAAACTGCCTGGCAACAGGCTGTGATTGGTTGGGGCATAGACCGTCCCTTGACCAGATTGGTTGGTCTGGCTATATAAGATGTTGTACCAACTGAAATAAACGAGTCTGCGGGCTGCTTGCTTCAAGCCCGCTTTCACCCGACTCCCGGGGTCTGTGTGGTGACTCCGCGCCTCTTGTCCCCACCAGCTCCTCCTCTCAGAAACGAATCCACTGCAACATTGTTGAGAAATCAACTGCAATAGTACATATTTATAGGATACACTGTGATGTTTTGATTCATGTATACATTATGAGATGATTAAATCAGGATAATTAACGTATTCATCATTTAGGCAGCTCAAATTTGTGATGATAAATTTAATGTGAAATCAACCTTTATTATTCAGATATTTTTCCTAGCAAGTTTCAAACTTGCAGAAGAGACATACATTTGTATATAAATTGACTTCGGTTTTCTGAAGGAACTACAATGAAGGGAAAATAAAAATTCTGGGCTATTACCATCAGAGTCAGTAATTCTCGGCCATAGGATCTAAGCTGGCCAAAGAATAAAGCCAAGAAAATGATGAATAAAGGATGATGGGGATTCTGTCTTGCTAGTCTTGATGTCCAAAAAAGGATATATGAAATATGAACCTGCGATTAGAAGGCAATCAAGATTAGAATATGTCAAATCTAAGATTTTGGAGTGGATCAACCACCACAATAAGTCTAATTCAACAAGAAAAGTTTGGGGCACAGGCTGAACTAAATCGACAATCATACCCAGTTTTTCCAGCAATGGGACTTCCACTGCATTATTTCATCAAATGATACTCTGATGAAAAATAAATACATATAAGTGAAGTATTCAATTATAGAAGGAGCTACATAAAGTATAATTATAAACTGTTAATTTAGGGCAAATCTGAGAGAAGTTTCACAAAGAATGTGTCCAAGAGAGAAAGAATTTGATCTAAGTTTTTATTTTTAACATTTAGTATTGCCCTACTGATCTTAGACAAATAACTTAGGTAATAAATAATATATTTCATTTCTTTGTTGTCTTATCTCTAGTGGACATCACTGCTTAGAAGGAGCTTGAAGTAGAGAATGGGCATACATGTATTCTCTTGGTGCCCATTTGTAAATGTGTGGGGGGTTGGTGTGATTCTAATAACCTGCTGTTTAGATGGGACTCCCTATCCCTTTCTACTGTGCAGGAGGACTAGACCCATCCATAATAGATACAGTGAAGAGAACAAAGAGAAAGCAACTGAGTGGGCAAGCAGGGCATGACCTGTGTCTGCTGAAAACTTAGCAACACAGCCCTGTTCACTTTTGCTGGGAAGATGCACTGGGGACACAACAGACCTGCAAAGATAGCACTAGAACTGATTAGTAGCCAAAACTGAGATTTCAAAAGGGATGCTACCATCGAGCCAACAGGAACTGAAAGGCTGCTTTGTGGCTCCCAGTCTTCTCATCCTTACTTTTCCTGTTTCTCCGTGAGTTTCTAATTGGTGACCTTTACAAGTGTCCATGAATTCATTAACTTCTTATACGTGTATCCTTATAAATAATGATGCATTTCTGTCATCAATTCAATGCTCATCCTTCAATTTTTTACTGTAAAACAGCACAGTCAAGAGAAGTTTTAAATTGTTTCCTATGATTATAAAATAATATATCTACACTCTAAAATTCAAATTATGTAATGCTGTGTATTATTTAAAATCTATTTAAATCCAAACCATCAGAAATTGCTAGTCTAAACAGTGTGTTGAGTATTTTCATCTACGCTTTTTAATGCACACAGAAAATGTATGTGTACACAGCTAGGTTGATAAAAAGTTTATGCAAATGATATAATCTTGTACCAACCTCACTTGCTATAATAAACTAGTATATTGCACACCTTTACACTAGACCCACCTAATTTACATTCTGCAGCTCTATAGTATGTTTTATTCTCTAAGAATGTGGTCTCTCTGGTCAGGCACTGACTTCCCTTAGTAATACTGGGCTACTGCTAAGATCTGCATGCTGGTTGCTGTGAGCTCCACTCCCTTCTTTGTTACCAGCTGACCTCAGGTGGTCTGGCCCTATGGATTCCCCAGGGTCCCTCAGGAGCTGAGACAGAAGTGAGATTCCTGGAATGTGCCTTAGAATACTGGGGAAACTGAATCTACCTTTAGGTTCTTTGTGCCCACTGGAGAAGCTGTAGGCACAGGGGATCCCTCACACACACTGCCTTCTAGATAAAGGGTGAAGTGGCCAAAGAGAAACTGGTTCTCTTCCCCTTCTAATGCAGCTCTCTTGAGATCTGCGGTCCAGCAAATTGTTCTATTCTCACCTCCATGTTCTGAGAATTTTTTTAATTCAAATTGTAGATGTTTGCTTCTTTTTTCTTTTTCTTTCCTTCTTTCTTCCTAATATTTTTGATTAGCACATAATACATGTAAATTTTTATGAAGTACAGTGCAATATTTCATCACATGTATACAGTGTAAACTGATCAAAATAGGTGATTAGCATTTCCATTTCTTTACATTTTCTTTGTGTTCAGAAACTATGTCCTCCTCTATTTCTTCATAGAAGATATAATACATTATTGTGAACCATTGACAACTTCATAAAGTTTATGGCAAAAAAAAAATCTTGCCTGTGGATAGTTACTTGTTGGACATCCTCTTAGGAAGACTGAAGCCATGAATCCTTTATTCCACCATTTGCTGACGTCACTCTTAAGCACTGTTGTTCTGAGATCCTTAAAGTTCTTCTCTCTTCCTTGATTTTAGTGTTGTTCCAGATGTCCAGTTTTACAAGGAAAGGTAGCAGTAACCTGGGCATGCTCATATCATTTTTAAGACAAATGCTTTTAAATTTCTCCATTTTGATGACTATGAAGTATTTGATAAAGAGGTACACCATATTAAGGATTTTTCTTTAACTTTCAGAAAAAATTTAAATTATAAATAGATATTATATTTTATCAGTTTTTCTCCATTGTTAGAGATAATCATGTAATCTGCAGCAATGTATTAATAAAAATTAAAATCTGATATCAAAATTATTAATTTTCCTAGAATGGAACTTTATTGATCCAAATGCATCATTTGATTCATTATTCTGTTAGAATAATTTTTATAAGAATGTTCACCCATAAATCTAAGCAGCAATTTTTTAAAAAAAACTAATTTTTTTCTCTTTTTTTAAACTTTTATTTAATGAATATAAATTTCCAAAGTACGACTTATGGATTACAATGGCTTCCCCCCCATACCGTCCCTCCCACCCGCAACCCTCCCCTTTCCCACTCCCTCTCCCCTTCCATTCACATCAAGATTCATTTTCAATTATCTTAATATACAGAAGATCAGCTTAGTATACATTAAGTAAAGATTTCAACAGTTTGCTCCCACACAGAAACATAAAGTGAAAAATAATAGATGATTTTTTTTAAATGATGATGAAATCAGATCAGACCTATTGTCATGTTTAATCCCAGTGAGGGTCAAGTTGGGAATTGATAATTTCTTTTTTTTTTTTTTACAGAAGATCAGTTTAGTATGCATTAAGTAAAGATTTCAACAGTTTGCACCCCCATAAAAACACAAAGTGAAATATACTGTTTGAGTACTCGTTATAGCATTAAGTCTCAATGTACAGCACATTAAGGACAGAGATCCTACATGAGGAGTAAGTACACAGTGACTCCTGTTGTTGACTTTACAAATTGACACTCCTGTCTATGGCATCAGTAATCTCCCTATGCTCCAGTCATGAGTTTCCAAGGCTATGGAAGCCCTCTGAGTTCTCCGACTCTTATCTTGTTTAGACAAGGTCATAGTCAAAGTGGAGGTTCTCTCCTCCCTTCAGAGAAAGGTACCTCCTTCTTTGAAGACCTGTTCTTTCCACTGGGATCTCACTCACAGAGATCTTTTGCCAGAGTGTCTTGGCTTTCCATGCCTGAAATACTCTCATGGGCTTTTCAGCCAGATCCGAATGCCTTTAGGGCTGATTCTGAGGCCAGAGTGCTATTTAGGACATCTGCCATTCTATGAGTCTGCTGAGTATCTCACTTCCCATGTTGGATCACTCTCCCCTTTCTTTATTCTATCGGTTAGTGTTAGCAGGTACTAGACTTGTTTATGTGCTCCCTTTGACTCTTAGTCCTTTCATTATGATCAATTGTGAACTGAAATTGATCACTTGGAATAGTGAGATGGCATTGGTACATACCACCTTGATGGGATTGAATTGGAATCCCCTGGTATGTTTCTTACTCTACCATTTGGGGCAAGTCAGCTTGAGCATGTCCCAAATTATACATCTCTTCCCTCTCTTATTCCCACTCTTATGTTTAACAGGGATCACATTTTAGTTAATTTTCAACACTTAAGAATAACTGTGTGATAATTACAGAATTAAACCAGTCATATTAAGTAGAACAGACAAAAAAAACTACTAAGAGGGATAATGTA